TCAACTTTAAAAACTGATTCTTGCTCCCGATTTAAGGTGGTAGTTTAAAAGACAAACACTGAGGTTGATCCATTATGCGTTATATCTCCTCAACGTGTATTGATTCTATGTTCTGTTGTTACTGATTCAAAATGTATCGTGATAATTATTGATATTGTTTTATTGATTCTGGGTTGTACCTTTTTGATTGGCTCGCTCACAAGCTCGGCCTCCACCTGCTCTTTTGATTGGCTGTCGCTGCTTGGGAGTTTACTCGGAGTCGACAGTAATCTCTGAAATATGGACTACAAGCAGAGGAAGATGGAGATAAATGTTTCAATCCCATCGTAACCCAATGGAGTCCATCACACAATGTGAACATTGTGAACAACAACCATACCTGCAGTGTGATGCGTCCGTTGGTTTTGGCCAATGGAGACACTCCGTTCTGTCCGCCTGTCCCTGTGTTGGGACTGGTGAGAGCGATCAGGTAGTGGTTGCCGTTGCTATCGGTGACCAGTGTGGGTGTGCCGTTGGCCTTGAGGACGTCTAATGAAATGGCCTGAGTTTGCATCGGAGTGCCGTTCTGTTGGTTGATGAAAACTGGAGCCACCTGGGAATGAAAACACAGCTCTTTTAATATCTGAAGTCAGAACACAGGCTGATGTCTTTGATACATCTTTTTGAAAAATCTGTTCTGTCGTCATCACCAGCCTGAGCTGCGTCTAATCATATTTGATATTTTATGTTGACGTGTCTTCAGTTCAGTGCACAGCAGTTTGTCAGTTTAATGGAGAAAATAAATAAACCGCATCAGTCTGCCACTTTTTCTTATCCTATTATTAGATTCCGTCTCAACTTCCAGCAATTTGTCCAGGATGTACAACTATCCAAAAAAGTGTTTTTACTTTGCAAACAAACCAAACTTTGGTTCATTTTGATCCTGACAGAGACCACCTCTTTCTGCCAGACTAAATTTTGATCCAATGGTCCGGACCATGGTCCTTTCACACCGGTTATACTTTCATTCTATCATCAGTTTATAATTATAGTGACACTTAAATTGGACTGGTGATTGTGCTAAATTAGTTCAAAATGTCTGAAACCAAGGGGCCTTCACCTGTTGTGTGGCAACAGCTGCCGTCTGCTGTTTCTGCTGCTGCCTCTGCTGAGCCCTCAGTTGTTTCCTCTGCTGGATTTGGGTCGTTGCAGGCTTCTGGCTCGCCACGGTCTGGTTCTGGATCTGCACCTGAACCTGCTTCAGCTGAACTTGGTTCTTCGGCTGGCTCTGTTGAACTTGCCCGGGAGGTTGTTTGAGCTGGCTCTGCTGCACCGGCTTCTGTTGTGCGAGTTTCTGCTGGGCCAGTTTCTGCTGTGCTAACTTCTGCTGGGCCTGCAGCTGTTTCTGCTGGGTTTGCTGGATGATGAGCTGCTGGAGCTGCTGCTGCTGCTGGAGCAGGATTTGAGCTTCTTTCTTTTGCTGTTGTTGTTTTTGAGGGTTTGATTTAGCCTCTGCTACTTTCTGCGGTTGTGCCAGACTTTGCTGTTGTTGGGGTGGTTGTAGCTGTTTCTGCTGTTCTGCCTGCAGCCGCTGAATCTGCTGCAGCCTGAGCAGCGTCTCCTGAGAGCACTGCATCGGCTGGGCCAGCTTCTTTGACTGCGCCTCTTCTGTTACTCCCTCCATTTCTTCCTCAGACTCCACCTCCCTCTTTACTTTCACCACAGTGCCGTTAGGGAGAGTCGGGGGTTGAATGGCTGAGGCTTTTATTAGAGTTGGAAGTTTAGCCTCTGGGGCTGATTTGCTCTTCTCAATTCCTTCCCTCTTCACCACTACTCCACCAGTCACCTTGCCCTGCTCCAGCTGGGACCTGAGGGTCTCCACTAGCCTCTGCTTCTGTCTTAGCATCTTGGTCAATTCCTCGATCTGTTTGTCCTTCTCCTGCAGCATCTGGTCCTTATCCATAGAGGACGAGTCCATGGCTCCGGCTGACAGGGGCTCTGGACGCTGGCTCGAGGCAGCTGAAGACGTGGACTGGCTGCATGTGCTCTGCATTTCCTCTTTGACCTGGGAGAGTGGCTGTGAGAGTGGAGAGATGTTTGACGAGGGCTGAGGAGATGGGTGCAGGGTGAGTTGAGTTAACGGAGAGCTCACCTGAGGGACAATAAAACAAGAATAGGATGTTTGAAAAAATGAAAGGAAAGACTGTTCTTTATGGCAATAATCATTCTAAACTTATCACCAATAATCTTCACATAAACAGGATATCTTCTTCACACATCATAGATCTCACCATTTCTCCAAACATGTCTCCATTACAGCTCGTCTCATCCGGACTCATCCCAGCCAACGACCTCTCAGATGGAGTAGGCGACATAGGCGGGCTGGAGCTGGTGCTGCCAAAACGCATGACTCTCCCAGGAACTGCATGAGCCAATGAGGACAAAGCTAATTTAAACCCGCTCTCTCCTAACTGGTGGTCAGGGGCGGCAGTTGTGGTCGGAGAGGATGTGCTGGTGCTAGCAGTAGAGTTAGCGGCCTGCTGCAATATTGCATTTTTCAAAACAGCTGCGTTGCCACCATTTTGCTCCTGGTAGTTGCGGAGCCTCTCGATGAGATCGTTCTTAGTGCCAGAGACGGTCAGACCACGTAATTTCAGTTCCTGTTTCAACTCTGCGACCTGGAGGATGAGAAACCAGATTGTACTCATATAGCAGATGTCAACTCAGAGTGAAAAAGCAAAACAAAAGAAATGTCAAAGAACAGTTCTTAGCGGTGCCCAGTCTCAAAAGGTCCCATGATTACGAGCTGAGTGGTTTACAAAACAATGCTATAGGAAAATAAATCACATGACGCTGGACTTTTAGACGGCAAAACCAGGAATATTTTTCTTTTTTAAATAGGAAACTAGAATTTGAGATAATCAACCTTTTCTCAAACTTGTTTGCATCTAAAACACAAACTCCTGGTTTGCAAATTCAATCCACAGACTTGATCACTTGTAATAATCAGCTACACACACTTCCTGATCACCTTCAACAGTTAAAATTCCTTCTATAAAAACACATTTAGTTATAAATATTCCTTACAGCAACATTTCTGACTCTTCACAGTTCAAATGAATTGAAACTTACCTTGAACTCATCCAAGTTGGCTGGCAGAGTGCTGGGTTTGGCTCCTCCCACTGCAGTTTGGCTCTGACGGCCAGCCGTGCTCTGATTGGAAGGGGCCGGGGTGGTAGTGGAGGGAGCGCTGCGGGAGGGGGAAGGTCCAGAGTTGACTGTGGGAGACTGCTCGGCTGGAGGCCTGAGAGGAGAAAGAAAACGTAGGAATATCCATTTTATAAAGAAAATTACTTTTTCTTGGCTGTGCGTTTCTACATTTTTCTTATCGCTTTGCCAAAGTAAGTCAGGAAGACAGGAAGTCATGCAGACACCCGCCTGCATGCTTCACTACAGAAATCAAGCCTGAGCACAGGTTAAGAAAGAAGAAGAAAAATGTCTTTAACCTTTAACATTAAAGCCCCACCACTCACTTCCACACCACAAACACAGTCATGCCAGACACTCACTTGGGAGGGGCGGGCAGGATGGTGTGGTAGTTGTAGTGCTGCTGTTGCTGGCTGAGGATCTGCAGCTGCAGGAAGAGCTGCTGCTGGTGGAGCAGCTTTGCATAGGATGAGTCCATCGGCGGCGGAAGCTCCTTGTCAGCCTTCTGGTCTGGAGGGATGTACTGGTGGTACTTCAGCTTCTTCACCTGCACCCAGATGATTAAGAGAGTTAATGTTTTTACACTATTTGACATCACTGATTTATGATAATTATCCTGCTGTTATCATCCCTTATTCAATGTCTGGTCATATTACATGATTGCGGATAGACATTACCCGTCAGAGCCATAAATCCTGTGAGTGCTTGTAATAATAACAACAAAGAGCACGCTGACCTTGGGTTTGTTGTCCTTTGTTTTCTTGGTTCTTTGTGGAGGACGATCTGAGCTCCGAGCCTGAGATTGCAGACAGAATGTTAAAAATGAGGTTGAGAGGAGGATTTGAGGAAATGAGAGGGAGGGTTAACCAGTTATAGCTGCTCCATGCAGAGGGATTAAGGTTACAATTATTCACAAGTCATCAAATCTGCAGAATGTACAACCAATAACCAGCGCACCTTGACCTGTCCCAAAGTGGAGCGGGGACTTGCTGAAATCAACATCGTTCCATTTGTCAATTTAGGGGGCGGGGACGAGGCGCAGCCATTCCCCTGGGGAGGAGGTGGAGGAGGGGCCTGAGTAACAAACTAAGAAAAATATGATTAAAGGTGTGATGATGTTTATCCATTGTTTGCTTTGTTTTATGAAAGACTGCAACAATTTCATTTCAACTGAATTTAGTTTGACTAGTTTAACAATGTCATGTTTATTTGATTAAATTATGGTATGTTATGGTACCTGTGTGGGAGAAATGTCCTCCTTCTGGGTGAGAGCATCAGGGGGGGACAGCTGAGGGACGGCACTCAGGGGAGAGTCGTGATTGGTTGGCTGGTCTGGCGACAGAGCATCACTGCTGTCTTCGTCTAGAGACGAGCTCTCTCCCCCGGCTCCTTTTGGAGAATCTGTGACAGAGGAGAAACGTCTTCATATTCAGCGAAACAGACAGGTTACTGTGGCAACAGTAACGTTTGCTACAACGTCCTGTGGCCAGTGGATTTAAGATAGTAATTGAAATAGTTTAGTTGTCACAAAATGAATCACAAGATGAATCACAAAGTGATAAAGCTTGTGAAAGAGCGATGAGTAACTTCAGAGAGCTTATGCAACACTGTGAGTTGTACCAAGTTTCAAAACAAGACTATGTCCTAATAGTTGTGTGGTTACAGAGTGTGTTTATACACTCACTCGTAAAACACTGTATTACATGTGTGTGTAGATACCTGGATGTTGTCATTGCTAGGCTAAAGGTGTGTTGGTGTGACTGGAAATACGTCACATTTTACAGGTCATTGCTATGTTGGCAACAAAGTACAAAAAGCGAACACGTTTTGATCTAATGCCAACATTCATCCCTAAGTTGTATGGTCTTATGGATTAAACATACATCCATGAATCAGTGAATGAATCAGTCAATTAAGTGACAAGTGTTTGTGAGGGCAATAGACAGGACACAGTTTTCAGTCTGGATAAATAAGGTGTTTGAATGTACGTGTGTACATATTTATCTGTGCTGTGTGTTTCAAGAGATTTTTGTTTAATCCCAAGTGTCCATGTGATTGGAAGTGTGTGCCAACGACTGCAAATGTGTATTTATCTTATGTGCAGTGGACTTTTACATCATGAGCATTCTGGAAACTTTTAGCAATGTCTAGTTTAGACTACACAATTTTTAGCCCAATTTTGTAGTTGCAAACAATTTTGGAACTCACAAAAGCCCCCAGAATCGGAGGCATTAGCTTTTCTTCTGAATTCTCTCATTGCTGTGTGTGAACTCTTGAAAGAGGCGATTCAAGAGGCTCCTCAGACTAAATGTCTTGACCAATGAGCAACAACTACAGCTAATCAGAGCGAACCATAGCTACTAGTCTTCCGTTTCTTGTGTAAGACCTTGTAGTACGTGACCCTGTCAGTGTGAAAGTTGCAGTCTGAACTTAGCATTAGTCTGTGCGATTGTGCGACTGTGTGAATGTGGTGAGGTGTGTGTAATTACCCAGCAGTGAGTGCTGCAGAGAGCAGGTGACTGACAGGATGTTTTTGTGAACCAGCTCGATGGGACCCGGTCTGTGGGAGATCTTGTCATTGAGGTTGTCGGCCAGTCGCGCTCGCTTCAGCTGCAGTTGCTTAGCCTGCAGAGACGGCTCTGCCAACGTCTCTGTGGAGCGGACAGCAGGGAAATGTGAACTGATCAAGACATTTATTTTAATCCTCAACAAAAACAAGACGGCAGTGCTTTGTACCTGAGGGATATAAATGAAGAGATATTCGTTTGAAATATTTTGAGCAGATCCAGAGGGAGGAAGTCGGCTTTCTGAAGACCCAATACTGCATAACTATTAATATATTAATATTCAAGTGTATCAATCAAATAGTTGGTACCTGAAAATAAAATTTAAATTACCAGCATACTGAGAAGTTGAACTGTATCAAGCTGTTATATTTATCAAACACATCCCTGCACTGATAACTAAGAAAAAAAACATGCTGATATACTAAGGAGCATGGGAAAGGCCTTATTTCCGACTCACTTTACAGAAGCTTGAGACTTGATCTATTAGTTTTGTATGGTGCTTTCCTATTATGAGAAATGAGTTGAATTCTGTGAAAGCCCTAACAGAATTATGAAGTAGGAACTGAACACTAACCTTATCTCTAGGAATTGTTCCGTTTTGGTTAATGCATGGTTCCTTTTAAATGAAGTTTCATTCATTTGGCCTAACTTAAACCTGCTACTCCTAAAGTCCACTTGTGGGTAAGAACTTACCCTCCAGAATGTGCATCCTGACCAGCTCGGAGCGCTCAGGACGACACCGAATCTTCCTCTTCAGATAGTCCTCGGTCTTGGGGAAACACAACCGACACATCATGGTGGGAATGAAGATGGAAGAAAGAGGATCACAGGCAGAAGGATTAGAAACAGGTACCATTCTGCTTTGTTGTACTGTACTGAGTTGTTTATATGGTATATAAATGTTGTGCGTCATTCAGTGAGCAAAAACTGTGTAAGATACTCACCCTTGCTCGCTCCAGAAGCCTCCGCTGTTCGTGAAAGGCTGCCGGGCTCTTCAGTGCTGCATCGAGAGAGGGATGGAGAGAGATGAGTGCAGCTCTCACAGACTTATGAGAACAACGTGAAAACCATAGGTGAGAACAGATACAGCCATAGAGGAAGGCAGAGTCAAAGTGGAAGTGTCGGCATGACGAGGTCAGAGTTGCTATTCTAAACCACACAGTCGCTTGATATGACATGCGCTGTGTGTGCAGGAATAAAAACGTCTCTCTGCAAAACAGTTCTTTTTTCCACCAATGAAGCTTTTTAATTAAATTAAATTCAACCAAAGGTATTAATCCCACCCGGGCCAATGCATTTGGAACAGCTTGAATAAAAAACATAAACAGTAAGGTACAAGACACAAGGGACCCCTCTTTCTTTAACATTCCGAGATGTTTTCCGTGGGCAGCTCAAAACTTAGGACAGCACTGACTGTAGGCATCGACTGTGCATGCTCCAGGTACAACCATTACACCTACTGGAATGTAATCTGAAATCAGGTACGACAAGCGTGGACCGCCAGACTGACAAAGCCCCTCATTTTAGTATGTGTTTGGCCTGCATCATTTTATTTTAGAATATAGGACAAGATGGTGAATATCCTCTGTATGTTTGAAGGTCTTCTGCACAAATTAAGTTACCAGCTACCATTTGATGTTAGCAGGTCTTTGCAGCCACCAGCGGATGTTAGGGACATTACTTTAGCTTTGCACCTTAGTGTCATCAAGTGTTTTGGCCTTGAGATCAATGATACAGGCCGAACCGTGTGGTGTGGGTCAGGGACGAGCCGGAGGCATTTTGGTGAGGATCTGGATCAGGGAGTGTAGACATTTTTTTACATTTTCACAATTAAAATCAGGCACATTTAGAAGACTTTGGTGCAGCTTGATTTAATTTAAGGGAACTGTTGGGCCTAGGCGGTGGAGAGCATCTATTTGGGGAAGGATATATAGAGGACAGTGGCAGTTACATGATGTAACAGCAATTGTCTGATTGGTCCATAGCTGGTGAAATCCCTACCAAGGGTGTGTGAGAGTGGACATTCTGGCTACAGCTGGGCGTCGATTGTACGTGTGCCACAGATGAGTGGGCGTGGGGGTGGGAGGCATTCCTGTGTCCCAACCTCTGAGGTTGAAAGAAGAAGATCCACATACCAGTTGTGACATAACCAAACGGTTTTAGGATCACAACAAGACGGCAAAAAAAACAGACTACGGGTCATCTGATCTGAAAGAGGAGCTTTTCTCTAACCATGTAATCGCCAGCTTCTCAGCCGCCTCAGTATCTATATTTCCACTCTCACAGTAATATTTACTGTAGCTGCTTCCTTCTGCTGCAGCTTGGTTTGGATGTTTATGCCATCCATCTGATAATACAGCTATAATTGACATTTTTATTCTGTTTCTGAACAAGTAAAAAACTTGATTTAACTGAATGTCTGAACAGCTGGCCGTTATGACTGCAACATCAATCACTATGCCATACTTATGTAATTTACAGAAACATCTGTGTTGTGTATCTGACTGCAGTGAAACAAGAAGCACAATCGCAGGAAATTCAGTGACAACAGAACAGAGATTCAGCCTGAACAGCTAGATGTGTTTGTCAATGTCTGTTGATTTAAGAGCAATTCTAACAAACCGGTGCTTTTGATGAACTATTTAAACATTTGTCAACATAAAAGAAACTTAAAAATGTAAAAAATAATAAATAATAATTATTAAGAGAAGCAAAAAATTAGACTTTTTTCCTTATCTGTTTTCATTAGTTAGAACATGACATGATTCACAAATCTCCAACCTGACATTGGTATGTCAATTATGTCACATGTGCTTCACATGACATGCTTCAATACCTGAGAGAAGGAGGGTTTCTCATTTACATTATCTATATCAGTTCCTAACATTCACTGTCTCCTCTGCAGCCGGCCAACGATACAGTTCAAACCATCAGAATATGGGAACTGCTTACATTCGTATGATCGGGATTTGACTCCATTGAAAGTGGTTAAATGACGATGTACCCCCCCCTCCTCGTTCGTCAGCAGTTCATATGATCTTTATGGTCCCACAATTCAACAGGGACCATGACAGCTGAACAGCCTCCGCTCTACCCTGCTGAGTCTCAAGGCAATGGTAAGAATAAATGCTGTTTGTTGGGCTCAACCACTGTCTTTAATACCTCTTATAAAAACCGACGCTTTCTCTTTCTCCCTCTTTCTGTTTTTAATCTCTGTATCTCCACAGACGAGTATCTAGACAGCGAAACATTCCACCAGTACATGCTGATCCCAGAGCAGCTAATGGTGTGGCATGAAGCTGGTTGCATAAGGAGGACACAGACAGATTTACTGTAACAGCTTAAAGGTCCAATGTGACACTTTTTTCTATGGACCGCAACAAGCCCTTGGCCAGAGTGTCTATTCCAGTGCATTCTCTCATGCCTAACACATACAAACTGAGCCCCGTTAGTTACTGTAAGTGCAATTTTATTAACTAAAGTACAACAAGTACAAAGTACAGTAAAGAGGGACATGAAAAAATATGTAAATAGGCCAAAGAAAGGAGAACACGCAACGTCTTATTACTATCAATGGCTGACAAGATTCACATTTCAACCTACTTTGTTTTTTAATGAGGGTTTGTTTGTTAGCAGAATAACACAAAAACTACTGTTTCCATGACATTTTGTGGAGGGGTGGGGCCCAAGGAATGACCCATTAAATTTTGGAGTGGATCTGAATATATGGACGGGTTGGATCCAGGAATTTATTTTCACTCTCTTTGCAGTGTTTCCCACAGAATTAATTCAATCTATGGCTGCTGCAGGGGTGCATGCATGTGCATGAAGGTTGCTCTCATGTGCAAAGGATTCCAACAAGTACACAGACTAAAGAGAGCAGAGAGAGTTTAAACGAGTTCTCGCATGAGAGGAAGAACTGCACTGCACGCCAATTGCAGGTAAACGCACAACTGCAGCCGAAATTATGAGGTCTGACTGTGTGGACAGTAAAAACTTTATTGATGATAGCACAAGCAAGTAGTGGATGTAATGGAGTGAAACGTTACGTTAGACATCTCTTATGATGTTATAAGTTTAAAAAATAAATTTCGGTTCATTATGAAACTAAGGCGGGACTCATCTCTCTTCATCTTTTGTTTCTCTGAACACAAACTAAACAGCAACATCGTCAGGGCCTACACGTCCTTGTGCCTACCTTACTTTAGGTTAAAAAATTTTTTTGAAAAGCCTGCTACTTACTGCCCATAGATACATTAAACAGAGGGGGAAACATTTTGTAAATAAATAAGAATAGTAAAAACTGCCTATTGTGATGTGTGGAACTCTGAAACAGGAAGTGAATACAGAAGAAGAGGAAGCTGCCACATTTGATAACACAAAGTGGTGCAAAGACACCACAAAATGTGACATGCAGGATGCACAAACTCATGCCAGTAACACAAATAGATAAGGGCTATCATTTTCTGTGAAAGTGGATGATAATCAAGAGCCTCGACCTTCAGAATATGTATTACCTGAAGATGCTTTGATATCAAACACAGGCAAACAGATAAAGATCTACCAACATATCCTGTTTAGCACATGTGGATAACCAGAAATAATGCAGAGTAAGGTTTGTTTAGCATGTGAGTTAATGGCACATGTGCATATAGATCAGCACTGGTATTGTATACGTAACATAATCAATCTGTGACAGGGTTTGACATACAGTCTGATGCTGGAGAAGGAAACTCTGTGACCTCCACTCAAAGACAAAGACACACTGTCCTACTCAAGTTTCTATGAAGCATCATAATACGTTTTTCAATGTTGTTCCGTTATAGAGCATGTGCATCACTGACTGATATGTGTGTATATATGGAACTAACCACATTCAGGATGCATTACGGAAGTTGCACAGCACGGTACATTTTGATACACTCATAAAAGAGACTTACGTGGCATGATCCCTTGGCTGACCAGTTCCTCACGTGTTCGTCTCTGCTGGAGTTTGAGCTGGAGGACTGCATGGAGACAGAGGAGGTGGGGGGGAGACAGAGGAGAAAAGAGAGTCAGCGAAGACCCGGTGAGAGCAACAAAACTGCAGCGATGGAGCTCTGAGCTCTTCAAGCTTCCTTATTGTCCACTGAGCACAAGTCCATCTGCGACGTTTGGATGCGTAACCACACAGGGAGAACCAAGATGCATTTGGACTGACATGAAGAGGACCTGCTCTTTCTGGGCACCCGGTTCATCCGCCCATTTCCCCCTTCTCACTTGCGTTTTTTTTAAGCTGCAGAGGAGGAGTGCTACAAACTTCCTGTTTCTCTCTCTTTTTTTTTTGTGCAACGATGTGTGTGACAGAAAAAGTAACCATTGATCAATGAATCGGTCACATCAAGCAGGCACAGCTACAAAAGTAATGAAACCATCAACATTGTGTAAAGAGCAATGAAAATAGAGACTGAAACAAGTTCTGCCTCAGTCAAAAAAAAGACCATACGGGCCGATTGCGCCGTCATTTCAAAACAGGAAGTGCTAGTTACATAACACAGAGACTAGGAGAGAGAGTTTTAAGGAACACAAGGATGAACCAAAAGAACTGGAGCGTGTCTGACCCTTCAGCTAACACTAAACTTTAGTTGTTGTCATTCTCATCTTTATACCTTTTAAAGTTGAACACATTTTAAATATAATCTCCTGAGCTGAAATCTTATCTCTGGTTCTAGCCTCATCACAAAGACCAATAGAATATCAGGTGTAGTGCTGACAAATGAAATTGTCCCGCCCTCCTTACCTTTACTTCTAAGCATCCTGTGCGGGCGGATATTTGAACAAGCACACAGAAACAGCATGAGCGCGAGGAGAAGAGCTGAAGCTGGAGCGCAGGAAATCTGTCCAAGCGACAAAATATCTGAGTGCAATCGCACATATAGAACACAAGCAAAGCAAATTTTAGCAGAAGCAGGAGCTATTTTAGTGCGACTGCAGGGTTTTGAGTGAAAACGTTACAAAATCTGAACCTGAAATCATGCAAGTGCTGGTCTATGAAGGATCATACTCTTGATTAAAGATAGGAAAACAAACGATAAACTGAGCGAATACAATTTAATTTTGTTCGAAAAAGGCTTTTACAGAATAATAATTTAAATGTGGGAAGCTGCAGGTTTAGGCAAGTAAAATTTGTATTTTAGAACTTGCTGCAGTTACACTTTCTTGCAACACAGTGAAATTCTAAGGAAGTGGGTTTGACCTTTCCACCACACAGACACTTCAAGGACTCCTGAACAGTCAGATCACAGACAGAGAGATGTACATTGCTCTACACTTCCACTGAAACAGCCTGATGACGTGACACACTTTCTGATCGCTTTTATGTTTAGATCACAGCGTTTGATCCAATCAGAGGAAGGAATGAATCTGTTGCTCCACCAAATATACTCTCCCTGACACACACTTTCAGCTTAGCTCCAGTCAGCTGTGACTGGTTTAACATGCACAAGTTGTCCTTGCTGGAGCTGTGTGTTTGTGTGTGTGAAGTGGAACACACCACCGAGGCTTCCCAAGAATTTCTGGCCAGGATTGCATCTGCTACTTTGAGGACAAGCAGCACCTGTTCCTTCCCACTAACAAAGTGACATCACTGGTGCTCACAGGATAGCTAACCGGTTAGCCATCCTGCGTAGCTGCTGCTGTGTTATCCCTCTGTTATGACAAACGCTCCAGGCCTGGACAGCAACACGGCAAGTACCATTTATTAACGTCAGAGCCTGTGCAAGTAAATGTCATTCTTTGGCTCCAAATCCTTGCTGGTGATCCCAGCTCCCCTCTGTTATATTTACAAGTATATGCTTTACGTCTTGAGGGATGAGACGAGAACTAGAGACTCCCCTCTGGAAGCAATAACATGTCAGTTCCCATTCAGCGGTGTAAACACAGAGAACTAAACAGGGCCCGATGAGCTCATGTATATGTTCAATCTGTGCGGCAGCTAAGAGAGTCATTTTCGCTCTGTGCCAAGCACGCAGACAAACACTCACGTGTCGCCTGAATCCACTCACACACATGCAAAGACACACACAGATACGCTGACCATGCCATGGCATAGTGCATGATAGGATGCCACGTAATTTGGCACTTCCAGGAAGAGGTTTATTCTGGGAAAGAGAATCTTACGCTTCCCCCCTCTGCAGCCTCAAATCTCGGTGCTCCTTCCTTTCACGCACCAAGGACACTCCACTTAACTTATTTATTCTGCCCTGCACTCCTTTCCCACTCCTCTCCTTATTCCTCCACTCTGACAGTAACTGAACTGGAAGCACAAGTATGGGCTGTTTAGTGGAGACATTGGCCTCTAATGGCTTTTCAGTCATCAGTTAAAAACGATCAAGTGTCGGCCATGACTGAGTCAATTTTCTCGGTGGTTTGAAAGGAAAGAAAATTGCATTAGTCTCGCAGTTATAGCTCATGCATGCTGGTGATGGTGCGTAGTGTGAAAAGCTGCAGTGGTGTTGAAACTGTGGGCTGATGTGGGGAAACCAAACCATATGACTGTTCAAGGTGCTCAAAAATAACATTCGAGGCAATCACAACCAAACAGCTAATAAATATTAAAGCAGAACTAGGTACTGTTTGAATTATAGCTCCTATGTCAGCCCTTAGTTGGTGTCACTGTCAGTTACAAAGGAAAATAGTCAAAACTCAAAAGTAATTTGTGTATTTGCAAAAAGGCTGAAACAAATTCAGATTAAACATGACACATTCTTTGTCTTTTGGAGACCAGGACACACACTGGAGCTTAAATGAGGTTTAAAGGCCATTTATGGTTAATTTAAGCAAAAGGATGAAAAGGCAGGGCAGGTTTTATTAGGATACTAGGCCACAGCCAAAACTGGCCTCTGCAGTCATAAAAAGTCAGAGTGAAGGAACACAGAGGGAAAGAGGCAGACAAGAGAGCGGAGACGGCTGCTTTTACAGCTTTTAGATCGAGCAGAAGGAACAACAACCGTTTCGCTTACTCTGTCAAGCCTGTAATCTTTGGGTTTCAAGATGGCATCTCAAACCACTGTGCCAATCTGCTGCCAGACAGTGTGCCAGTGAAAGTCTCGGAGAAAGTAAAGTTAGAAAGCACTTGAGAGCAACATACCAGGTTCCTGTCGGTTCGCAGCTGCAGTGTCAGAATTATATCACACTTCACATCTTTATTTAGAGATCTGGGTATTAAATTGGCCTCCACCTTTTTTTTCCAATTGCTTATTAATCTTTAATGTCTTTTCAGCCATACACTGTCAAAGACAACGTTTAAATCCTGTGATTTGCAATTAAAGAAAAGCATGAAAACGTATATTTCACCTGATAAATACGACACTAAAGGCTCTGGTTTGAATCTTGGTTTGGACGGAGCCTTTCTTTGTAGACTTAGCATGTTCTCCTGGTGTCTTTGTGGGATTTCTCCAGGTACCCTAGCTTCCTCCAACAGTCCAAAGACATGCAGATTGGGTTTAGGTTGATTGGCGACTCTGAATTGAATCTGAGGGCGAACGGTCTCTGTATGTCGGCCCTGCGATACACTGTCCAGGGTGTACCCCACCTCTCGTCCAATGTCGGCTGAGCCTACGACCCTCAAAGGATAAGCGGTATAATGGATGGGAGGATGGAATACCACAGTAGAATGTCATTCTCAGTAGAGAGCATAATTCTGCCAAGGCCAACCTATCCTGCACATCTGTCTAGCTGTTATAACATAACCATGTCATTGAATGTAATGGAGTAGTGAAAGTAATGATGCGGGTCATAATCGGGTGGGGCTATATAACATGTAAGCTGGAACATGAAAGAAGTACTCTATTAGCAACTCATGCAAACACCATGATCAAAATATCTTATTCTGAATTACTATAAAGTTACAGAAAATGAAAGAACTCCTTTATTCTCATCAACCAGTTCAATCCCTCCACTGGGTTTGGTGTATATCGGTCCAACAAACAGCGGTGGAAACATAACATTGTTAGTGGTGGTCAAAAATAAAAGAACTAACTCACACAGTAAAAAGTCATGTGATAGTTGTTTGTATAGCGAGACAATAAAATAATACTTATACCACATATAACTCATAACTTCTGCAGTTTCTACACCTAACAGCAGTGCACCGTGGCTGTTAAGGAATTCTTATACTGATCCAGAGGTCACATACATTACAGTCTCCTGAAAGCAGGTTCAGTTTTAAGGTTAATGCGGCGTCAGGAGAAGGAGGAGGGCACTGAGGCAGAGCCAACTTCTTGATGGCCAACTGGGCTAATCCTGCGGTGCTCATGTGTCATTAGTTCTGATTTAACATGTCTGACGTTGTCACTGTCCCCAAAGACCCTCCCTTGCTTTGCATAGCTAAGCCAACACACACCCACCATAGCAACACGCATGAAGGGAGAATGTTTCAAGCCTGAACTGGATGAGGAAGTGGGTACATGGGGACAGAAACATATCTGATCATACACTGAAGCATACCCAGCTACCAAACTCACAAACACCAGTCTCACAGATTCTCCGAAAGGCTATTAACTAGCATAGGTGTATTTGGAAAGCCTGTTAATGATCTCCTGCTTTAGTTCACCATTTGCACAGCCGTGTAGTTTGATTGAATCTGTTGAGCAGAGAGGTGAACGCAGAGCCTGAAATGTTTCATGCAGCAGCGAGAATGGAAAGAGGCTAGAGGGCAGGAACAACACAAGGTTAAGGCCATTCACTCGCTCTCGCTGCCTCCGCACTGCCACACTGCTCTGGGAAGACGGATGACTAGGAGGATCGGAGCAAATACTAATTATCTTAAAAGTTCAAGGAACACAAGTGTGACTCCTGAAGCTCCCATTGCTTAAAGTGGTTCATGTCACTCACACTTGCTCTATACATAATGCAGACACACCTTTGAAGACTTAAGCAAAGGTTAGCAGGTAGGAATAAAAACAAGTGTGGATAGCTGTAGAGTCATGTATCATGTGACAGTGCATGCATGTTGTTTTTTCTGTAATTATTTTCATTAAACTCGAACTCCTCATTCTTCCATCAGTGTAACCTCCCAGGAATCTTTTTGTTTCACAGGCAGTCAGTCATCACTATGACTCTTGTAATAAACAATCTTAAGCTATTTGATCGTCAAACTGACTGTTTATATATGACGTTACTAGTGGCCGCCGTAGTTTTCCGTTTCTACAGGACAAGATGTTAGTTGTGTTTTACTTCTCGCATCAAAATCTAAAAATGTGTCCCATCATCATAAAGCCTATAACATTCTGCAAATACTACTCATGCTACAACTGTGAGAGCTTCCAATCTGGCAAAAAAGTACATTTGATTTTATTACAATTGATAGAAATATTTTTTTAAGGGAGTTTCTTTTGTTTGTTGTCTGGCACATGCATTTGCACGCACATGTTCCCAGTCTGGATGGATGTTTCACCATGTTCCACTGATCTACAGATTACTGTAAAGCCTAAAGTAATACAGTATGAGCACAAACACAAAAACTGGGAAGAGGACAACAACTGCTGGCAGCAACACTGACTATAAACATTTGATATGTGTTTATAAGAAAAAACCACAGAGCACCTTTAACGCTGGCACAACATGCAGTGTGAGTTTAACATGACAGACTGAGTTATTTCCTACTGTAGTTACTCACGCTTCTTTAATTAAACACAGAAGTCGAGAAGGTTTATCAGGGGGGACCAGATAACCACTAACTTCCTTCCATCTTACATAGGCCAGTGAACCAAATCTCTTATCTTTAGCACAGCCCCATTAACTATTTATACGCGGCCATGAAGTACTGACATGAACCTGCAGAGGCACATAAACACAAGTCATACCAGATAACTTGTGAGCATATCCCGATCGCCCACCTTCTTTCAAGCTGTGATAGACATGTCGGTCATGATCCATCTTCAGCCCTGCCTTCTCCATATCCACATCGTCTCCCATTGGAGGAGAGCCATGAGGGGAGAGTTCGAAGGACAGGCAGTTGTTGGTATCCAGCATTATCATTCAGAATGGAGATCTGTTATTTTGGTGAACATTGAACTTCTCTGGCAAAAGGGAGTCCTCCTCTGAAGTCCCAAATGTTGACACTTTAGGGGGGAAGGGAAAGAAGAGTCCTGTCTCAAAACTGCACCAGCTGTCCCTTCAATTAGATGTCCCCTCTTTCAAAGGAAAGAACGTGGATCAAATGCCGGAGAAGACTCACATACAAGTCCAAGGAGATAAACCAAAACGAGTAGGAAAAACACTGCAACCTCCTCTCCTCCTCTAGTGTCTCTCTCCCTCTTCAGTACCAGAGAAATCGATTGGTCTGTCTCAGCTTCTCTTTCTTTCTCTCCTTCCTCCTGCTCTCTCCTTCCCTTGCAGTGGCAGTCGGCAAGTCACGACAGCACTGCCTTGCGAAGGCTGCCCAGAGAGACAAGGGGAGGGGAGGGTGAAGAAATCCACGGGACGAGTCGTGGGTGAAAAGACTAAGGCAGACAAGAGGGGAGGAAACTGAAAAGCAGCGTGCAGGGGAGGGAGAGAGAACAGCAGTGATCTCGGCAGAGACACAGAGAGAGAGAGTGCCCAGAGAGACTGCTCTGGTTGCGGCTCCTCCTAAATTTTACACACACGCGCACATGCTCGCACACACACACGAGCAGGGAGTGTTGCCGATAAAGTTCTCCTGCTCAGCTGTTGCTATTCATTCACAGTTACAGGCTGAGGGGAGGGGGCTGCTACATGCAAATCTCCTCCTGTGAAATATATGTACACAAAACTCCCCCATCATCGACAAAAAAATCTGTTCTTTAACACTTTCTGAACTCCTCTAAATACACAGACTTGCTCTCTTACACGGTGACTCAGTCAATCTACGAGCAGGTTTTATGGCATGAGTAGAAGCGGCAATAACAGTTTTCAGCGATGACCTCATCCGACATAATCGACCTTTGTCAAAGATGCTTGAGTGAATCTGATACTGGGATGAATCACGGGGCTTTTAAAGCGATTGATTGATATCCAATCACCGTTGCAATTCTGAAACAATTTTTTTGGACCGGTCTGTCCTTGAGGAAAGGCAGCTCACTCACAAAGGGACTCCGGAAATATGTTTTGAGAAAGGATGAGAGTTATAGGCCTGGTGCAACCCGAGAACCAAAGCAGTTGTATTTTGATCCTGTTGAAAAACTCTGGATTCATTCGCAGCCCGGTGCCACCATCAAACTGACTCCTGCAGAATGCTGATGGTAAACACCAACCCCCCCCTGCCCCTTCTCCACTGTTTTAAATAGCAAGGCCAGCTGGCTATAAGGGGGCTATATTCAGCTTGGTATCACCTGTGCAATCGCAGGGTAAGGTTACCTAGAGGCACACACATCGTGGCCCCGCAAACACACACAGACACACAAACTTTAAGCCCCAATGCCTCAGACTAAATCAATGTTTTATGAGGCATGACGTAAAAGGGAGATGCATGTCTTTCATACCGTTCTCCTTCACTATACTTACAGCACAGAGAGCAGTCGACTTATTAATAAAACAATGGCCTGCGCAGAAATATCATATTAGACACTCACAGCACACAGTGTGACATCGTGGTCGACCAGTACATTGCTCCTCAGGCGACACACCTGAAAACACAGACAACACCTTGAACAAACAGTGGCTGGTTTCTACAATGACTGTCTGTTATGAGTGTGTGATTAAAGTCCACCTGCTGTTGTGATTCACAGTCTGGACAGGAAACACAGATGACAACACATTCAGGGATTTTGATGTCACACACACACACACACACATTGACACTTGTTGACATTATACATTTCCTCTCCTCAAACATCACAACTAAACTCTTACCCAAACCTAAATCGTATTCTAACCCAAACTAAACCAAGGCATACTCCTTGAACAGCCCTTATACGTTGTGAGAACAGGCACAAATATCCCAGCAGGCCTTGATCCCTGAAGGGTTGCCAATATTTACAATGTACACCACCAGTAGGATGCTTTTACATGCTGTTTATGATGTTTACTGATATAGTAATATAATCACAACCATTTGATTCAGTGGTAATTTGAACCGTTAGTAAGACAAAGTATAATAGTTCTGGCTTTGGGGAAATTCCAGTAAAGCTATTTGACCTTGGACATCCTTATCAGAATCTTTCTTTATCCTTCACTGAAAAATATTCTTGGGAAACAAGAAAAAGAAAACACTTTTTTTTGCAAGCAGACAGGATACAATTACAGCATGAAAATCTTGCTGGAATAGTGACTCAGAGACTTCCTGTGGGTGTGTAAATGAATGGAAAACTCCCCCACTGCTTCCAGTTGGTCATTATGACCTCCAGGAAGATACAGCTAAAAAAGTGGTTGTCTTTTCAAGTGGCATCCAAACCACAGTTTGGAGAGAGTGTATTTTTTACTTTTAAAAAAGCAACAGGCAAACACATATGCAAAAATAAATGTAGAGAAACTACACAGACAGAGATTCTACTAATTAAGCTTATAAACTACCTTAAATATGTTATTTCTCTATGCTGTCATTGCTTGTGACCCTCCCACACCCTCTGTCACCGACTCATCTAAAGCACCCCCAGGGGGGCTGCTACTTGTGGGACTCAATCCAAATTGTAATCAATGGGATCAACGTCTGTATGAAGTAAAGTTTCTGTATCCATGTTTATTTGTGTCTTTACTGAATACATTGGTAGTAAATTTGAAGATTGAGAGAAGGCGTGACCTTGACCTTTGACCACCCTTATCTAACAAGTTGATGATTTTGGCTAAGCGAACGTTTGTACCAATCTTGTAAGGATTCGCTCGAGGCATTGTTTAGATAAGGGGTTCATGAGGCAAAAAAGGATTGTGTGAGATCATAGTGACCTTTGACCATCAAATTCTAAGTCTTGAGTGCAAGTGAATATTTGTCCCTAATTTGAAGAAATTCCCTCAGGGCGCTCTTGAGATATCATGTTCACAAACATAGCTGAATAACCTGAAAACACAATGCCTCTGGCCAATGGATGTCGCTGCCGCAGAGGAATAAAAATACCATCAACCCCATCCCCGGATGAATAGCTGAAGACGAGACGGCTTTTTCAATTAGAGCATATAATTATTTAGGAGATAATGGACATTTTTATAGCATTATTCAGTATATAACCCTCTTAGTTCATTACTAGTTGCTGTGGCATTCTAAAAATCAGCACCACAAACAGCTGCAAAAATACACCAAGTCCTCCCACTGGTGCTCTGTTTATCTTCACACAGCTTAAGTTGAGGAGATAAACTGTCTGAAGCCGTAATGTTTTTCATTTTCTACCTGGTCGTGGAACATTACGACCCTATTTGCACAGAGCATGATGTGTCCTTCAGGCTTGCCCAAAACAATTACCCCACCGCATTCCATTAAGCTCTGAGCAAAAATTTGCAGTTTCTGCAAACCTCCCCAGTCACCACCAACTAACAAGACCAGGCAAGTCTGAACCGCACGAGTGTCAATATCTCTCACCCTGTCTATATTTATGGTAGTTCCTCCTCCCTGCTGTATTTAGATCATGGAAATATATAATATTCTATCACAATGCAACTATGATATTGAAGGACCTCTATCAATCTCTCTTTACTTACTTTCCTGCAGGTTTGCAGCAGAATTTAGACAGTATGGTAACCATTCATATCCACTGTTATACAGCCAATCAATTGTGTCAAGCAGGAAGTTGAAATCCTTGTTGGATATATTGGGGCATTTATTCTTTCATCAGATAGTTCTTTACCGAAAAGAAAAAAAACGTTATACTATATTCTGTGTACAGAAAACACAAACAAAAGGTGACCTGCTTAGAAACCAGCCAGGCTCAATGTCAGTCTCTCACAGGTCACACCAGTGATTAACATTCTGGCAGTGAAAACTGAAGGTGTTTTTTCCTTTACTTCCTGGTTCCTCCCACCCGCTCTGCTGTGGAATTTACCAGCACTGTTTGAATTTGGCTGTGTCTCAACACTGACATCAGGCCCAGGTTTTCTTCATGTTGATACACAGACAGTTCTGAACCGTACAGACGCATAGTCTGAGGAGTCTTGTTAATGATATCTGAACAGAGGCACTCACAATGAGGAGGCTGAGACTGAGTTTACTCCTTTGGAACAAAGTGGAATCTGGCATAAAACCTTGATGTAAATGCTGCTATAGCAATCCTGCACTTAATCACTTACCGTGTTGGTACTGGAAGAGCACAAACACAGAGAGTTTGTACTGGAAGATGTAAACTCACTGCCAGGGGCTTGTAAGCCAACACTTCATCTGTTTGCAGAAGAAGCAATAGTAAAACTCCTTCTGGATGCATTTTCCCTAAATGACCAACACTCTTCAGCTTCATTCCCGAGAGAAACCATATTCATTCTCTTTTCACAATATGTGAAATAAACGGGCTGCTACCACAGCATAAAGGTGCTCTCTTTTTTAGTTTTTACTATTTTAAAATGTATATATATTTGTACAATAACACTGGTCTAAAACAGAAAATGGGAAGAGGTTAGATTTAGATTCTCATGACAGGAGGAAGACTAAGTTATGATAACATTATACCAACAATATTAATTGCTGAGATCTTTGAAAGGAGCATGATTTGGAAACACAGAACAACAACTACAGTCAGTCAATCAAGCCTAAATCCACCCATTATCTACAATGCTTATCCTTTGACATTAACAGGGGAGAGCTAAAGCCAATCCCAGCTGACATTGGGCGAGAGTCTGGGCTCACCCTGGACAGGCTGCCACTGTATCACAGACAACATACATAGACAAACCACCATTGACAATTTAATTCACATCCACCTTCAATTAACCTAACCCAGTCTGCATGTGTTTGGACTGAGAGAGGAAGTTCTAACCACTGAACCACCAAACCAACAGTTATGCATAATTACAGTTGATACAAGTTTATTTGGAACACACAATGCTGCTAATAATCAGTCACTGTTCTGGGAGAGCTCAATTACAAACAAGTTAAGCATGTCAGGTAGCTCAAACTCCCCACTCAACTTTATTCTCTGTTCCAAATAAGTCTAACCCGGAGATTTGTTTTGAACATATATGATCATCTGGCTGCTTGTTTATACAATGTAACCATAACTTTTACAGCCATAGACAAGTAGTTCAAAGTATGAATATAATACCCAAGGTATAAGGACATTTAGCTTCTCTTTCTTTTGACTGCTGGACCCATTTGAAGGTAAAAAATATCCGTTGCTCATAATTGTATTACCTACATCAAGAAGGTTATGTTCACATACGCCCAGAAACAACAACAATGGCGGCTCTATTCCTGTTTCACTATGATTGGTTACCACTGGTAGGTCTATTTACAGCTACATTTAATAATAGTGCATCACATTACTGACATTCACAGGCACAGGGGTTCTTCTCTGGTATTTGATGGATTGTTGATCACCACCTATTGGCCGGGCGTGCTTGTTTGATCATTTGTAAAATGTGATGTTTATAACATAGATGTCTGAATTCATGATGAATTATCCATTATTCACTAA